GTCTATGTCCAATGGATCACTTGGTATATCTTTTGCTCTGGATAGATGATAACATGCCTGGAAGAGTCGTCGATTTGAAGATATGAAGGGAATTCCTACGTCGAAGAAACCTTGGTGAAAATGTATCTGATTACATAGATCTAAGTGTTCTAGAATAAGGTTCTCTTTGTAACTACAATCCACTTTTCCTTGTAAATCTTTTTCTATATCTTCTTTCATTGATTGTATTTACATTCTGTAAATTCTGAACATGTACTATAATACTTGTATTATTTCCAATGATTAATAAAATGAGTATTCCATGTACCTCACTGAAAAAGATCCCTGAAAAAAGTAATAGGGACACAAGTCTATGAGTTTCTATGTTACTTTTTCCGTTCACTGACAGTCTTTAACTCAGTGAATAAGCTTTCAGTTTCAGTTTCTGTACTTGTAATTTTCTTAAATATAACTTAAGAAAACTTCTCAAGCTGAGACTATCCAAACTGAAAAAGATCCCAAAATAGTAAAAAGAGACATGTACTTTATGTGTAACTTTTCCTTACTATTATTTGATAAGATAACTTTCTTTATGTTATCTTGTTATCATCAAATAGGAGGAGATTGTTGATCCTCTCTCTCAGTGATTTGATGATAATCCCTTTTCCTTTCACGCTGTATTTGTGTTTCTGTATTTTCAGTTCCAGCGATCATCACTGAGTATGTTCAGTGATCGCTGAAGAACTTGTATTGTAAATTCATCAGAGACAGCTTTATTTCAAGAAGATAACACTCACACCACAAATCCTTCACCGAACATCGAAGACTGAAATTGAAGATTATAGACTGGCAAGTACGTGATCTGAAGCGGTATTCAGTGATTACAAGCCTGTCTACATATGTGTGAAGACTGCTCTAGCTTCAGCGAATGATGATGAGACCTCCAGGTCATTCAAGCATTCAGCGATCAAAGGAAGCTTGTTTAGCACGATTGTTGTTGTCTTGTCGTTATGCACACAAAAAACAAACCCATACCCTTGCAAAAGTTAGTACGGTACGGAGCCGATTAGTCGACTCTTTGTCCACCAACTTTAGGTAAGGATGTCTGCTCAAAAATAGTACTTTTGTACTATTCACTATAGCGAAGGACAAGCCTTCCTCTTAAGGCTTGACACGCACTCTATAACCTACCATATTGCATTAAATGATCATTTAATGTACTTGGTATAAATAGAAGTGTTTCTTCTCCATGCAGAGAGCGCACATCTCTCTCTAACCCTATTCTTACTTCAAGCATCTTCTAGCTTATGTAAAGGATTCTCCTTTTAGCAATCTCTTTTCTTGTATTTGCTAAAACTCTGTGTGTAACCAAAGATTGTTTAGATAGGTTTTCGTTACCTTATCTTTCTGCAAACTGTCTTGTAAAATATGTATTGATCTTCTCTATCAATATATATTTTAAATTTGAAAATACTGTGTTTGTATTCATCCCCCCCTTCTACAAACTGTTTCTATTCTTGTAGACCCTTACGGGACCAACAAGAACCTCTGTGCAGCTCTGCATGAAACACGTAGTCTGGTTCAGATTGACCGCAAAGCACGTGCAAAACCTCTGTTAAGCTCTATATGAAGGACAGAATCAGGTTTGACAAACACAAGGTCTAAGAAATCCTCCAGAGTTCACGACAGAGGATATCCAGCGTTGCAAGACTTCTAAATCAAGATGACCAATCTGGCTACAAGTGTGAAGCCCTTTTCAAGAGTTAATTGCTAAAATTAGCCAACGCTACAAGTTTGTATAAATTTTCCATGAATAGAGGCTCTGCATTGTAGATGTAGAGCTGCTGTGTAGCTCTGTATGAAGCACGGAATCATGTATAGAGGTGCTGTGTGGTTTCTGCAGTATCTCTCTAAAGCTCTGTATGAATTACAGAAGTTTGGTCAGAGACTCTGCGTAGTACATCCAGTCCCTCTCTAAAGCTCTGTATGAAGCACGGAGTCCGAGTGAGAGAATTTGCGTAGCACATGCAGATTCTCTATGGTCGGATAATTATAATGTAGAACATAAATGAAAAATAAGCCTCTTAAGAATTAATAATAATATGAGTTAATAAGATGAAGTTGTAAAACAATAATTTTAACACAATATAAACTGAACAAATATAAGTTAAATATGTAAACATTAATAAAATAGGAACCATGTATCATATATTGATAAACATTTCTTTGTATACAACATTCGTTGTTTTACTGTCAATAATACCATCATCATCATCCATAATTAGTACTTTCAAACCTTGCTTGCTTTTGACTCTAGATAAAACAACATATAACTGACCATGCGTGAAGACCGGTTGTCGTAGAAATAAACCAACTTTTGATGATGATTGTCCTTGGCTCTTATTAATGGTCATGGCAAAACATACATCAATTGGAAACTGTCTCCTTTGAAATTTGAATGGTGTCTTTTTGTTTGTAGGTGATAAGGATATTCTTGGAATGAATGCACGACTTCCAATATTGCTTCCAGATATAACCTGTGCTTCTATTACTCGATTTCCCAATGTTAACACCCGCAGTCTAGTACCATTAGATAATCCAGATTTTTGATCAATATTCCTCAATAACATGATAGGAACACCAACTTTTAGTAAAATCTTATGGTTTGGTATTCCTGATAATTTAAGACTATTTAAAACATCAGGAGAGTACAAAGTTTTATCAAACTCATCATGAATGTGCTCTAATTCACATAACGTATCTAAACTTAAGTACTGATTTTCTTCTCCTGGAAACAATGACAGCAAACAATCATTTATTTCTTGAACTACTTCATTTTTTGGTGCAAGTATTGCTCGTTCTTGAAAATAAGCTGAGTTGTTGATGTTTTCAAGAATTGAGGGATAGACAAATTCGATTAATGCAGATATAGGATCGATGCAATCAGTAATGAGAAGATCATAAAGTATCTCAATAATTGCTTCACCATCATTATCACCTCCAACTTTTCCTTCTCCTAAGTCCAAAATCCATTTTGCAAAATCCCTTGTTTGCTCAATTTCTGAACTCTCACTGTTTGCAGTTAGCCTCATGTTCCTAGTTAACCTTAGGACTTTGCATTTTTCCCAAATGTAAGATGAACTTAATGATGGATTTACGATGTCTTGTCCACCTGCATTGAGAATAACCGGCAGAATCTGTCTGAAATCTCCTCCAAAAACAATTACCTTACCCCCAAAAAGCATATGTGAGTCACCACTACGTTGAGCATTGGAAATATCATTCATACTTCTATTTAATTCTTCAAATGCATGTTTATGAACCATTGGTGCCTCATCCCGTATTATCAAAGTAGTTTTCTTTATTAAGCTCGCAACATCACTGTCTGGCTTCATGTGGCAAAGAGAATCTTCATTGAGAATGAGTAGGATGTGAAACCGAGAGTGTGCTATTCTACCACCGGTAAGAAGTAAAGATGCAATACCACTGGAAGCAACATTTAAAACAATTTCTCATTTAGATCTTATTGATGCAGCCAAGGTCTTCCATAGGAATATTTTACATGTTCCGCCATGCCCATATTCAAAAAATACACCACCTTTTTTCTTTTCAATCGCAGTCATGATTTCATTATACACACCTCTTTGCTCATTTGTTAGAGCATTTACAAGTGTCTGAAACTCATCACGTAAATTATGATGATTATAGTCCATTTCTTCTGCAATCAAACGGTTGTTTGAGGATTCAAGCGAATCATTATCAGGATAAGGCAGAGTAGTGAAGTCTTTCAACGTGGAATTGTTACGAAGCAAAATCTTTTCAATTTCGAACAAAGTTAGATTCTTCACTTGTTCTTCATTAAGAGATAAATCTGTAAGAAGATAATATAAATGTAAACAATTAATACATGAAATTAAAAGTAGATATAATTTAACAACAACCATAGTTTTTTATAATAGTTGTATAACTCTATGCTTAAGATATAGAATTAACATACCTGGCGACTGTAAAGCAATTCATTGATTATACAGAATCCCATTTGCTAAGTATTGCCATGTTTTTTCCCGAACAAATTCAGGTCTACATAGACATGGTTGCAAATAAGAAACGGAGATAAAAACCAGATGCAGTTAAATTTGCCTCTTCAATGGCTTCAATATATTCCTTGTCATCGTCTAAAAGCCCAAGAGTATAACATGCATCTCTAAAAGTAAGAAATGTTTTTCCATTAACTGTACGAATGTCTTCAAATGATTTAGGACCTTTGACTTTATTCAGAAGAATTCGTAGAATGTCTTCAAATGATTTAGGACCTTTGACTTTATTCAGAAGAATTCGTAAGTAATACCCTTCTCCTACGGTAGGAGAAACTGAATGAATCCGTCTAATTGAGAATCCTTTTTTCCTTCGATCCCAAGGTCGTTCGTCCAATTTCCACACATACTTTATAGGGAATTCAACGTAAGTGAGTTCTTGTGCTTCTTGATAAATTTGATTACAATGCATCCAAGCTAAGAACATTGAGGACGCCACAGATGGTCTGTTTAGGACATTATGAATATTATCTTTAGCACCAAACACCACTTGTTGTTGTCCCGGAAGATGAAAAGGAAGTCTTAAAACAGAAGGAGTCCTGTAATGAACATCATATCCAAAAATACGACATGAAGCTTCACATGAAAAAAGGTATCTACAATCATAATACTGTTTTATCTCATCAACAACATTAACAGTGACCACATCATTATTGTTTTCTACAATTGCAACAATAGCTCTATCTGGACCCTTGTTGATATATTTGAACATATACTTGATTGAAGATGCCTGATTGCACCACTCAACATTAATGTGTGCTTGATATCTTTTCAACAAATGTTTATTATATGGAACAACATTTCTGTTGTCTAGTTTAACACCTGATTTTTCAATAAAACGTTCATCAACTCGTCTGCAGTATACAGGATAACCATTAACATCAATTGAAGTGTGTTCAAAAAATTTCTTCGGGTATTTTTTTGAACACTTTCTATCAACCATGCATGGACAATTAATGTTTTCTTCACCACATGGTCCATGCATCATGAACTCTTTTACAAGTAAGTACAAGTCTGGATCACTGTTTTTGTCTGGGATCTTAGCTGAGATGATAGGATAAATCTGTTCAACAGTAGGTAGCTTGAAATCTCGGTGCATAAACAGACAAATATGAATGTGAGGCAATCCACGCTTTTGAAATTCAATTGTATAAACAACTACAAAAAAAGTTACAATTTAAATTAAATAAAGATAAGACTAAAAGTATGAAGAAATATGTTGATATTGTTATCATAAATTGAACATACCTGCTTGAATTTTGCCAAAAAAAAACTCATTCTCTTTCAATTCTCTAACAAGTGCATCAAGCTTGATCTTAAATAAACGACAAAGAATGTTAGGCCTGTCTTCTGGATTTAGGCACGTGTCCTTAACAAATCTTCTAATTTCTGGCCATTTTGGATTGCAAGTCATGGTTAGGAACAAGTCAGGATATCCATACCATTTACAAAGGGACATTGCATCCAAATAATTTTACATCATGTACCGAGCACCATCGGTGAAAGAAGAAGGTAGTATAACACGTTGTCCAATGTTTGAAACATCCCACTCTCCTTGTTCTTGTACATTGCATAGATTATCATATGTCTCACACCTTAGGACTTACTGCTGCTACTTTCAATCATTGTGTATCCATCAACAATAAAATGCTGTAGAAGCCTCCTTGCATTGAGAAGTAATGAAAACATATTTCTTCTATCTTGAAGTTTGAAGGCGAAGAACTCCCTCATTGTTATAGTTGTTCTTTTATTTTTGCTTGAAGATGTTACCTCTCTATGGAGAATGTCAATTCTGTAACCATCTTCTCCGTATGGAAATAACAATGGATATTGAAGAGGAAGGTAAGAAGAATGTAATATACTTATTTGTTGTAAATAACCTGTCTGATGTTGTACAGTTGTATCTCTTTTTCAATTGTACCACCATCATCTGCAATAATTAAAGCTGCAACCTCTGAAGCAGTTGGAAGGTTATATGTTCTTCCATCCTTTTCTCTTCTTCCAATCAGTCATAACTTTAGCTTGACATCCGRSTAKCRTTCAAAACAATCTCTTGYAATTCTRTAAGACTTCACCAACACATTTTTTGCATCTAGTATGTTCTTTAAGTATTGAATAATCTCAATATCAAGGGAATCAGAATTTGATGCAGAGGCTTCTTGTTGTTCACTAAGTAAATCATAACAAACATAAAATCAGAGTGACCATTAATATAACCATACTATGTAATTCAAGTAAATTTATTAAGAGTTATTACAATAAGGATGAATGTATACCTAAATGAACCGTGTCTATTTGAAACTTTATTTTCGGTATCATATATGTACAGTTGAGAGAATTTCGGTTTTGTTCCATCTGGTGGTAGAAGACTACCCATCCTATGGTAGTTTTGACCATTAAGCCTGTATATGTATGGTGCATTTCCACTATTAATGGAAGAATCAATTTTGCCACTCATTGATGTAAATGAGAACATTGAATTATAACAAAGAATGTTCGTCATAAAGTATTCGCTTTTTGAGTCCTCACAATGAAACATATTTACGTAAGAAGTAGCCATCTCTTTCTCTTTTGGAAGCTAAACTTTGCCATTAAGACAACAAAGGGAGTAACTTGTTTTCATCCCGCATTTTTTCCCTCGAAGAGCTTCATCTCTCCATTGTTTTGCATCACAGCATTCACAAATAACACTTTCATCACCGTGATCCAAGTACTTTGTTTAATAAATTCAAATCTAATAACTAACTGTAAGTATTAAACATTTGATTAATCAATAATTACCTTCAAATATTCTTGCAATTATGTTTGTAGCTGTTACTGGATGGTCCGGTTCTTCATCTGATGTAATATCAATGATTGGTATATCAGCTACATTTACATTCCTCGTTTGTAATCTATGATGCCCTGCTGATAACCGAACCATAGAAGAAGCTTGCTCTATTGTCGATAAAGGCATGGATGAATTGGCACTAGAACGTAACCAGTAGTGTTTGTTTACATGAACACTTGATGTTTAAAATATACAAATTTAAGTAATGTATGACATGTGTTAGTATTGAAAATGTATTTGAAGCATTACTTTAAAAATGAGGTGTACAAGAGATTACACATACCATTAGCACTATTAGATAATGGATTTGTAGAAGAAGAATGTGCAAAGTTTGTATGTTGATATTGTGGACATGTGTTTGGATCCATATTCTCACTATGGTAGGGAATGTTATTCCTCTGAGATGAAGATCTTAATTGCCTATCATAATTTGAGATATTATCTGTAAGAAGATAGAGGAAAATATAATTGTCAAAAAGTGCCTTCAACAGAATTTCTGAACAGGTAATATTTGTCTCATTCAAAATCGAACTCAAAATGCTATTGAATCAGATACCTTCAACATTTGATGATGTAGATTTCAATGACTGTTTATTACTATTCAAAACTGTCTTTCTAAATTTTCTCCTTTCTCGAGCATCCATGTAATTTCTTTTTTAAAATATCTGCAAGAAAATTAATCCTTCAACAAGAACCAGTGCATGAAGTTAGTACATAATAAAACATTAGAATGAACAATCGTGAGAAAATGGACTCAATTAGTCAGTTGTGTTAAAAAATGTTTTTTTACTATAGTTGGAAATGGAAGTTGTCTGTGATAACAATAATTTTATAAGAAGCAAACGATTACCCCGATGAGGCGGTTATGGAAACCGTAAATTGAAGGTGTAAATACAACGTAAATTAAGAAACTGCTTGTCAGTTTTTTTTGCACGTTCGTTTTTCAGAGTTATGTACCTGATTGTCGAGTCAGAGCTAATGAGAAGGCCTAAAAACGTTTAAGTGTTGTATGCAGAGAGTCACTCCACACATAGAGCTTCACTTACGGTTCAAATGGGTCTACTTAAGTGGCATTTGTCCCTTTACATGTTTATTTTCCTTTTTTCGTGGCTTAATTGATGTTTCAAATGAAAAAAACAACTCTGATATGTTCTATGTCTAACTAAGTCTGGATCCATTGTATCCAGACTTATAAGTCTGAACATACAAGTCTAGACGTATGTGTCTTTGTCAACGTGCATAATTGTCTGCCAGACTTACAACGTAGCATGCCTTAGAAATCTGAGAATAAATCTGAACTCCTTCTCTCCAATGGAAATTCAAAATTCTCTTCACATAATTGATGTTTCAGATGAAGGAAACAACTCTGATATGTCTATGTATCACTAAATCTGGAGTCATTATTTCCAGACTTTTGCATCATGTATATGAAAGTTTGGACTTATGTTCCCTTGGTAAGATTCATAATTGTATGGCAGAATTAGAAGGTAGCTCGTCAAAAAAAATTTGAGAACAATTCTGAACTCCTTTTCCACAATTAAAATTCAGATTTCTCTTCAATATTTATGACGCTTACATGAATACGCGAATAAATCCCATTACACTTAAGCTATGTATACGGGTCAAACCTTTTTGTGACCTATATGTATTTTGTAAAAAAAACATCATTTACAACTGTTTGAAAAACAAAATAAAAATAATCAATCAAACAAATAAATGTTAATAAAAAATATGCATTAATACGATAGTAACAAAATAATATAATAGTACTCAATTAAACAGCTCCAACAACTAACTAAAATAAGTTCCATCCATTTTAGGAAAACCATGAATCTAAAGTACTATCTGAAATATCTTCGAAGTAGTTATCTATTTTTAAAGTTGAGGGAGATCCACGTCCAATCTCAGGAATGAAGTTATGAGCTATACGKGTTATACCAAAATCATCAAATTGGTTCGGGTTTATAGACCCGAAATCATGATACATGTTAAAAGATGCAACTTCATCACCAAGTTGTATTGAATCAAATGATTGGTAATCCAAAGGTGGTGCATCCACAAATGGAAGCTTGAGCGACTTTCGGTTGGGATGATGGTCGGACATTGATGTAACATTCGTCGGCGGTGGGTTTTCCAAAACCGTTGGCATAACGAAATTTGTAATAGCATAGGACCACAGAGATTAATGGCAGCATTATCATATACCCTGGCAGCCTCCTCCGGTGTATCTATTTATCCCAGATCTCTCAATAACACTAATAATTAAGTTAGAAATAACCAAACTATAGTGTTTGGATGAATAAAATAGTGAACACTCAAGAACAATTTATGAATATTGAAAGAATATACTTGAGTGTCAAAGGTTTCATTTTATTTCAATGATTGTGAAAAATGTAGAAGAGTCTTAGATTACAATAGGCCTAACCACCTATTTATACTAGTAATCTAGCTAAGAAGATAACTATCTAATGAGACTATTTAGCTAATCTTCTAAGAACAGATAAAACTTTTCTAAACATGGATAAACATAAAACAGGATAAACTTTGTAGAATCCAGCTGTTGATTAGTCATCTCCAGCTGTCTTCCATGGGTCATTAATTCAACCTTATCTTCATATCTTCATTGCATGCCTCTGGGTGAACTAGTGAGGAAAACTCCAAGTGTTAGTACCCATAGGGGTTATGAAGATGCACTTTCCATGGCATCTCTGGTCAGTTCATCGACCCTTTGGTTATTCTTCAGACTTAGCCATTTTGCCTTAAAGGCTTCCATCGGCCTTCTGGTTCTTCATCACTTGTTTGTCTTCATTACTTCCATACATAAGACTTATGGGGTCTAACAATCTCCCCCTAAGTAATGAAAGAACAAACATTAACTATTGTAGGAACATTTAAAGTATAAACGAAGAACAGAGGCTATTCTAAAGAAAAGCATATTTTGCCAAATTTTCATTCGAACAAAATGATGAATTCTTACAATGACGAAAATGAAAGATATTGCAATACAAAACATAAGTAAAACTACATTCACGGTCTCCCTTGTGATATTTCCCAAAAGCGCATTAATAGTCCTCTGTATTGGATGACTGTTGAAATATCATGAATAAGTCTCTGTCCCTCTCCCATCGGCACATGAGATCTGCCTAGTCTGTCGTTGATAGCCTTCCGAAACCATTCAAGTGTTGTTGTTAAGTACTTGAAGGCTTCAGTCAGCCTAAAAAATTTCTTCGTCCCAAACTCATTTTTGTATACCAGACCTAGTTCTGGCTGAGTAAGTACAGAGGCAGATCACTTCTCCTGCAGACCTGGGAAGTCTTCATTGGATGGAATGTAGGAAAGTCTATCGATGCCAAGCCGAAGAGCAATTTCAAAATCACTCTTGGCTCTATGCTTCACCAAGGTCTCCATCATCTGCACGATCGGTCTGTTTGCCATCCCAAATCGTATGCCCTGATCCTGTCGCTGAGTCGTATATGCATAAAGCTCAATCAAGTCATAGGGATTGAGATTGATCAAGTCATTGTCATTGAAGACGCTGACTTGACCATGGGCTCGCTTCACTTTGTACTCGATATACTTGATGGCTCTGTTGGCGAATGTCCTCATCTTAATGTCCATGACCAAACTTAGTCCATTGTTTGAAAGGACAGCCTGTGGTGGTTGAGTAGTTTGTGTAACAAACTTTTTACGTAGGAGGTTCATAGATTCCGATGAAAAGCATGGGAGGATTGAGGGCTAAACCTTCATCACGATCATGATATTAATATTGATGGATGTTTTCCATCATGACTGGCTCCCTTGGCGGCACCTCTGGACGTCTCTTTAGCGACTCCTTGTCGGCGATGATTTCATCGATAACCCCTTGAGGAGGGTGCCTTGATGAAAAGGGAACATCCGCTTGCACCTGGGTTGGTTGGGTTGTGGGTTGTGTTTGGGTTAAGGGTTGAGAGTGGGATTGTGATGGAATGATTTAAGTTGGCTCAAATTGGGGTAGCTCTGGTTCATTGGGATCAGGTGGGGTGGTTTCTGGTTAATGGGTTTCTGTTTGGGTGGTTTCTGGTTCATGGGGTTGTGTTTGGGTTGGAGGTTGTTGTGGTGAGGAAGGTTGGATGTTTGTGGGTTCCGGTTGTGTGGTGAAGGGTTTTGTGGTGCAAGGTGTTGGTGAAGGGGTTAAGGGTAGGTTGGGAGTTGGTGATGGGGTGAAGGGTAGGTTGGTTTCTGTTTGTGGGGTGGATGGTTCTTCATCGGTTGATGAGTTTAGCTCGTTGGGTTCTTGGGAGGTGGCGAAAGAAACATGTACATTATGTACATCTTCAGAGGGCTGGGCCTCTGGTTCTCTTGCTCGGGTTCCTTGGGTTGATGAGGGTGGTTCATTTTGTGTTTGAGGTGGTGGTGTTGGTGCAGCGGATTCCATTGGTTGAGCATTGGTAGTCGGGTTCTCCCCCTCATGAGAACCAAGACCATGATCATCGGGGTCTGGGTCTTCATGCCTAGGCCTCTTCTGCAGGCGGCTGGTTGAGCACGAAGCTCTGCTCCTTTTCTTCTTCTTCTCTTTCCTGAAGGTCACAAGATACGCCTTCAGGACTTATTGTCGTCGACTCTCCTCCATCGAGTGAAGGAGAGAGTTGGTGCGTTCTTGTTGATCGCCAAGGCTCTGGGAGAGAGCCTTGGTTGCGGCATGATGGATGAATTTTGCACTTATCTCATTGAAGGATGAGATAAGTGCCATTGACAGGGCCCTTAGATCGGCCCTGGTGGCGAACTCTATGGTGGATGATGAGGCAGGTGGGGCCACGGAGGTGGATGTGGATCTAGTTGGTGGGATGGGTAGATCGGCTATGAGTTTCCTCACCTCTGCAGTGAAGGAAGTAAAGGCTTCATCAAAAGATGGAACTACAGAGGGGGGTGGAGGAGGAGGTGGTTGGGGTATGTGGGCTATTATAGTAGCTGGGAGAGAGGTTAGGGTGTTTTGGATGTTGGCCATTTGGGTGGAGAGGGAGGTTAAGGTTTCATCGATAGATGATGTTGTGGGTGGGGTAGGTTGAGGGATTTGGGAGATTATGGTGGCTGGGAGGGTGTTAAGGGTTTAGGAGATGGTGTGTATTTGGGCGGTGATGGAGGCTAGTGTCTCATAGGTCGCAGTTGCCTGGGCCGTGAGGGTGGCGATAGAATTCATCATGAGTTGGTTTCGTTGGGTGGAAAGGTGGATGTGGTGTTATGGTGTTGGGTGATGATTTGTTGTAACATTTGGAGGCGGGTGGTGTTGTCTCTGGTTTGGGTTTCGAGGGATGCAAGGGATTGTTGAATGGGGGTTAGATTGATGGAAGGTGGGTTGTCGACAATCCCTTGGATCAAGAGTTTTAGGTCATCCAAGGACCGCTGAATCGAGTCGACAAAGGCTTGGAACTCAGCCTTCGTGACTAGATCAGCCATAGGGGTAACCCCTGCAGCAACAGATGCTGCAGGTTGAGCCTCAGCTCTAGAGGCGCCCTCAATGCCTTGTTAGAATGTGGGCATTAAAGGTCTTCCATCAAGTGCATGATAGCCCTCTAGTGAGGAGCTATCTATTGATGTTGCAACATCTTCTTCTCTTTCATCGGCTTCAGAGGCCGAATAAGAGAAGTAAGTGTGTTTTCCCTTCGCTAGATCAAGTGTCGAAGGGGGGGGGGTTGTGCACAAAGAGGAGATCGCTCTGAACAATCTTGAGGCATTTCAATGTCAGAAGCAACACATGCTTCTAGGTGTGTGAAGGGTGGTGGCGAGCCATATGGCGAAGTGGCTCTTATATCTTCATCGACTCTCTGTTGGAAGAGGAGCAATGGATGGTGAGGTTCCTCGGCTGCATCATCTCCAGAGGCTCGAAGACTGGCCTCTGGATGGCTGGTTGGGATGGGGATTGGACTGGGTCGTCCTTGTTCAATACCCCTTTGGCCTTGATTGCCAGGGGTGGTGGTTGTGGTTGCCCTTTGGGAAGAGGGGATGGGAATTGTATGTGAAGGGCCGGGGGATGCACGAGGAGTGTCATTATCATCATCTTCATCATTTGATGAAGATGACTCCTGTGCTCCCTCGTTAGTGTCAGGGGATGGCTCTAAGTGCTCTGGGGTAGCTGCCATCGGTTCATGGGACAACAGAGAGCGTTCATACTTCTGCCTTATCTCAGACGTCTCTGGAATGACGGTGAGCATGGCTCGTGAAACTGTTCTCTCAGTGGTGTAGCCTTCCTTGGAGATTGTTGGTCGATGGCCGTTTGTTAGACCCCATAATTCATAAATGTAAAAGTAATGGAGAACAATAAGTGATGAAGAACTAGAAGACCGATGAAGACGTTAAGGCAGAATTGACTAAGTCTGGAGAACAACCAGAGGGTCGATGAATCGACCAGAGATGCGATGGAAAGAGCATCTTCATCGCCCCTCTAGTCAACAACACTTAGAGTTTTCTTCAACAGTTCAACCAGAGGCATGCGATGAAGATATGAAGATAAGGTTGAATTAACATCAAATGGAAGACAGCTGGAGATAACAAATCGACAGCTGGATTTTAAGCTTATCTTGATTTATAGTTTATCCATACTTAGATAAACATTATCTTTCCTAGAAGATTGGCTAGATAGTTTTACTAGATAGTTATCTTCTTATTGCTAGTATAAATAGGTAGCTAGGCCTATTGTAAAATAAGACTTTTGAAGTGAGTTTTTACGTATCTTTAATGCTCAAGTATATGCTTTGATTATATACACTACTTATTTAGGTTATTCATAATCTATTTGTTAGTGTTATTGAGAGATCTGGGATCAACACTGTTCATCAAGAACTGTAGAGTGTACGGTTCATCGGTCGATAGATCGTGTCTCCTCATCGCGTCCCTTATGAAGAGAGCGAGGAATCAAGGGAAGAGAACAGAAGTCAAGGGCTTTCCCGCGGCCTTGAGTTTATATTTCTTGACTACCGCTGCGTGGAGTTCATTGTAGATGAGGAAAACATAGTCCAGCGGTAGGTTGAAGAAGAGGCCGTACATTATCGTCATAATGTTGATGTTGCCCTGATCTATCGACCCTAGTTTGCAGGTGAGAGCTCTGTTCTCTATGGAAAAGAACATATTCCACATTGGGGGCAAGAACTGCTTCTTGAAGTCAGAGGTGTTGCGTAGGTCACGATTGTAACCTAGAATTTTGATGAAGCAGAGGATGTCAGAACTTGTGGGTGGCTCAGCGTATTGGTCAATGCCGAGTTCTTGGCGAGTGGGAATGCAAAGGACTTTAGAGACCTTTACTTGGGAGATCTTGACCGAGCAACCCATGTCATTTGGGGCATCAATGTCCCCCATGATGCCACGGTTCTCGGGGTAGAATTCACAAGTTTGCCAATACTGTTGGACGTACTTGAGAGGTACGCCATTGTCGATTAAGGTCAAAGCGGGTTGGAGGATGCAATTTTGAAAGAATTCAATCATAATTGCTAACCTGTCTTCAAACAGGTTGGTTCGGAGGTCTATAGCGTGATTGTTTAGCTTGATTGGGAGGTACACCAGTGGCTTTCTGCGCCGGTTGATTGCACATGACTGTCATTGTTGTTCGATTCATGAGAGGCGGAAAAAGCCATTGCTATTGAAATTGTAGGTTTTGCTTTTTTGCAGGTCGTCTTGAGTGTTTGCAGGTTTAGGAAGCGTACATAAGAAATGGTTGGGAAGAAGGTTATTTATAGCTGGAGAATGGGAAACGGTTTTGAAGAGATATTATATTAAAAAGGTTAATCATTATGGTGGGAGACGTTTGGCAAAAAGAGGATTTGGTGGGGATCGTGTGCCGTCTTGACTGTACCATGCCATTAATATTGGAGGACACGTGTCAAGATGGGGAGGGAAGATGGGTAATGTGAAGGGGTTTATGGGTCTGAAGTTTGTTTAGTACTATTTTGACGCCGTATTACATGGTTTAAACATTAATGCACATTGTACGTCTATCAAACCACGTATGAAAATTGTATAATTCTGTAATCAAGCCAGTCAGAGTTAGCTTCCAACTCTTACATTTTACTTTGACGGGTTCATAGGTTTAATACAAGAACCGTACTGTTCAAATGACTCTGAAGTAAACCATCTATTTTAACTCTGACAAAGGATATCAGACCTATCTTTGTGAAATAAGTATTTATTTAGAAGTTTTTGTGATCTTTGGCATAGCACGTGCAGAAGCTCTGTGAAGGTCTGTATGAAGAATGGAGTCACGCTTGACAGACACAAGGGTGAAAAAAGTTCCCAGAGTTTAAGCCCAAAACGGTCCAGAGTTACAAGGCTGAAGTACACTTTCAGAGTCAGAGGCGGAGCCTCAAGGTAGGACATGAAGAGACAGAGCACTTTCTCAACTCTTAAGTGCAGAGCCTTTGTGTAGCTCTGTATGAAGCACGGAGGTAGGGTTACAATGACGGTGTAGCACGTGCAGAACCTCTATCATGGTCTGTATGAAGAAGGGGAATCTCAACGTAGAACATGAACAGACAGAGCTCTTTCTCAACACTAGTGCAGAGCCTCTGTGTAGCTTTGTATAAAGCACGGAGGCATGGTTAGAGTGACGGCATAGCATGCGCATAACCTCTGTGAAGGTTTGTATGAATAACGGAGGGAGGCTTGATAGACACAAGGGTGAAGAAGTTTCCCATAGTTAAGACTCAGATGGTCCAGAGTTGTAAGTCTGTAGTCCACTTTCAGAGTATTCGGCGGAGCCTGGACGTAGAAGATGAAGAGATAGATCAGTTTCTCAACACTTAAGTACATAGCCTATGTGTAGCTCTATATGAGGCACAGAGGAAGGGTTAAAGTGACCGCATAGAACGTGTAGAACCTCTGTGAAGGTCTGTATGAAGAAGGGGAATATCAACATAGGACATGAAGAAACAGAGCTCTTTCTCAACACTTAAGTACAGAGCCTCTGTATAGCTCTGTATGAAGCACGGTGGCAATGTTAGATTGACGGCGTTGCACGTGCAGTCCCTCTGTGAAGGTCTGTATAAAGAATGGAGTCAGGCTTGATAGCCTCAAGGGTGAACAAACTTCCCAGAGTTTAAACCGAATACGGTGCAGAGTTACAAGTCTGAAGTACACTTCCAGAGTAAGAGGTGACGCGTGAAGGTAGGACATGAAGAGACAGAGCTCTTTTTCAACACTTAAGTGCAGAGCCTCTGTGTAGCTCTGTATGAAGCATGGAGGCAGGGTCTAAGTGATGGCATAACACGTGCAGGACCCATGTCAAGGTCTGTATGAAGAAGCGGAGCCTCAACGTACAACATGAAGAGACAAAACTCTTTCTCAACACTTAACTGCAGAGCCTTTGTAGAGCTCAGTATGAACCACGGAGTCTGACTCAGATTGACCGCGTAGCACGTGCAGAACCTCTATGAAGGTCTGTATGAAGAACGGAGTGAGGCTTGACAGACACAAGGGTGAAGAAATTTCCTTGAGTTAAGACTCAAACCGTACAGAGTTACAATTCTGAAGTCCACTTTCAGAGTAAGCGACGGGGCCTCAATGTAGGGTATGAAGAGAGAGAGAGCTCTTTCTCAACACTTACGTGCAAAGCCTCTGTCTAGCTCTGTTTGAACCACAGAGGCAGGGTTAGAGTGACGCCGTAGCATGATCGGAACCTCTGTTATGGTCTGTATGAAGAATGAAGTCAGGCTTGACAGACAAAAGGGTGAATAAATTTCCCCGAATTAAGACTCAGATGGTCCAGAGTTACAAGTTTGAAGTCCACTTTCAGAGTAAGAGGCGGAGCCTCAACATAGGGCATGAAGAGACAGAGCTCTTTCTCAACACGTAAGTGCAGAGCCTTTGTGAAGCTCTGTATGAAGCACGGAGCCAGGGTTAGAGTGATGCCATAACACGTGCAGAACCTCTGTTAAAGTCTGTATGAAGAAGGGGAGCCTCAACGTAGCACATGAAGAGACAGAGCTCTTTCTCAACACTTAAGTGCAGAGCCTCTGTGTTTCTCATGCAAATAAGTTTAATACTAAATCCAAAACAAAAAATAATGAAAGCGTATAGCATACTACATTCACCAATTAACAGATCATTGTACAAAGCAAAATCCAATCACCAAAACAATACCAAATATGAGAGACTATGTAGTTGTACACCCGAACCACGAATATTACTTCTGAAGTGGAGGGATTTTTAACGTTTTTGTAGCCGATCCTTTTTCTTAAATTAGGAAAAAAGAAGAAAAACATAAAAAGTTCTCGATACCCCAACAGAAGTTAAAAAGAAAGCAGGTTCTTACTTGAATTAAAAACATAAGTCTAATTGAAGGCAAAGGTTAAAAAGAACCTTTGTTTTACATTAACTATTCAGAAAGTACAAAACGATTGAAACGAAAGTGCAATGCTTGAAAGCTGAAAAAAATGCTAAGACAAGAAGGTTTAGATGTTTTCAAGCCTGATGAACCTCCTAACTAGTTCTCGAAACTCCAACAGATTACGGATTGACCTTAGAATAATTCTGGCTCCTTCTCTTGCTCCAGGGGTGGTATCTCTGCTTCATGTAAGATGATCTCTATGATAATTGACATAGAAAATGACCTTTATACATAATAGACTTAGCTCTTAAGTAAGAGCCCTGTCTCTCCTCGTCCTACACAGAACCTCTGATCCTGATTCCATGCTTCATACAGAACTAAGCAGACTATCTGCATGTACCACACAGCGCACCTGGAGTTGCTTCTAGACTCAATGCAGACCTGTATAGAGCCTCTGCATGTTCCATGCAGAGCCTCTATGTAAGTAAGTTTCCTACGGATTTGCGACTCTGCATACAAGGCTTCTAATCTTCAAAGTAGGCTGAAGAACAACCCTGCATACTTCAAAGCTCTGTATAGCGAGTCTGAGTATCTGCATGCAGTATACAGAGGCCGTGTAATAAATCAATGAAGGCCTACAAGGATTCAGAGTAAACCCATCTGATCATGTACATCCTGTTACTCATCTGCCCAAAACCTCTTCATCCAAAAATAGTTAAATACTTACAAGCAGATATAATTTTCATGAACATGAAAATCAAAGATTACAAAATTATGTAATGCAAATGAGTTTAATATCAAATCCAACACAAATAATAACGAAAACGTGTATCATAACATAAACACCAATGCAAAAATCATTGTCCAAACTAAAATTCAACCACCAACACAATACCAAATACGAGTTTCAATGTAATTGTTCATCAAAAGCAAGAATAATACTTTTCAACTTTAGGGATCTTTAATGTTTTTATAGCCGATCCTTTTCCGTCCTGATCGGCATCATACCAACTTTCAAAAAGCTGCTTCCTATCAACTACTTTCCTAAGCCTTCTGTCACACAACTTCTCTTCTAATTCTGGATTATCTGCAGTGCTTTTATCAACATCGGATGTTGTTGCATTCTCACCAGTAAATGAAACATCATCCTTCAAATAAAACAATAATTAGTTATGGCATTTGAAGAATTAGTTGCTTGTAGTTCACTTTACAAATTACATTGAAGATGTCATTTATAGTACCTTTAACTTATCTTGAGAACTGAAATATGTTGAATGCAGATTTACTGATTCTGATTCAGCAGGATGCAGAGTAAATTGTAAAATAATGTTAACAAAGATTTTAGACTAAATTGGATCATATTTTCTACAAATGATAATCAGCACCTGTTGAGAAGCGCATCTCATCTCCAATTCATTCAAAATGGCATCATCATATGTTAGCTTTGAAATGCCATAAATGAAACAACTGCTTTAATATTGTAATCAGTTATGTCAATCTTTATTGCAAACCTCCGATCAAGCAAAACATCCAAGTCATCCGGAAACATATCTAAATCACCACTCTAACAAAAAAGAAATAAACAACTTTTACATTAACAGGTATTTGGAGTCCAAAAAAATAACTTACGAAAAAAAGATAAGACCTCTAACCTTACCTCTTTAACTTTTTCATATAACTCTGTTGTCGTTTGATTCAAAACTTTATTAGCTTCTCGATCAAATAATGACAATGATACAATTCCAGTATCATCCTGAACTCTCAAAGAAATTCCGAACCTATATGATTATTAACCGAGCATTAATGTGAGTGTGCAAAAGTTAATGAACAACACTGTTATGTAATTGTAACTTACTTTGGCAACACCTCTGTCTTTTTACTTCTGCATCTGTCAGTCGTACAATCAAAACTTTCACTCTCTTCTTTCATACCAGATCCATCATCCTTGTCAGTTATATTGTACATGGGTCGAACCTTGCGGTTACACCTCGTGCAACCCATGTAAAACCAAGGGACATCCTTCCTAAATGCTTTCACCGTTGCTAATACAATTAGTGATTTCGCTTGTATAAAGTACACTATGTTACACTAAAATGCAATTACTAAATGTAAAGACACAATTTAAAAAAAATCAGTACCTCAACAGTCTCACTGATTTAAACAATGTTTGCTCTACTGGTTCTGTCTAAAAAATCTTCACGATATGAAGACAATCCATAGAGCATTGAAATCTGTTGTGATGATTTAGATTCGCCACTTTCCCGAATCAAACAATTGAATTGGACTATTAGTACACAACAATGTATATTAGGGAAATATAAGATATATAACAAAAATAAATAATAAATAAAAATTGCTGACCTTTTCTTAAAATCTTTGATTTCATCAATGTTTGAATTGATCAACAACCTCATACCATTGAATGAGTTAGAAAGAAATGGTCTTTCTGAAATAATCAAATGAAGCAAGTTAACACAACAATGCTTGAAAGAACTATATATGTTATGAATCAGACAAACCTCTATAAAATTTGACCATTGCAAACTGAATAACAAAAATAACAATCCCCTTCTCCTTGTTAGTAGAAACATAATCATTCAATTACTGAGCGAACGCATCCCACAATGTCACTTGCATATTAATCCCCCTAAATAAATTGTAAGAAAAAGAATTATATAGTTTCTGAAGATCACTGCTAGTGAATAAAGTAAAACACTTACTCCAAATCCTGCATCTCAACCTGCATCCGTGTTTTGGCTTTTCCATTGTTATCTGGAATCCTGAACTTAGGAACCCATTTTTGTAGGACATTAGCTTGTATTTTAGTGCCCTAATAACATAAAAATGAAAAATCAATGAGTAGTGATGATGTGAAGATCTTAGACAGTTTAGAAAATTATTCAATATCATGCTGACAGTACTAAAGCTTGAAAAAGATATAAGAATTTACCTGTTCATCCATTAATATCATTTCAATGGAATATATATTTCATCCGGGATTTTAAACACCGGTTGCTTCCACAGTCTAACAATTCGGACCTTGACAATGAAATCATCCTTCTGTATGTCAAGATCTTCAAGGAATGTTATATTGTTAACAACCATTAATTTGTAGAAGGAAAAACATGTATTAATTAATGAAAATTTTGAAGTAGGTTAATCAAAAGAAGTTACCATACCTCACAAAAGAAAAGCAATTGGTTTTGATTGTTCTGATTTGAAGTTGAGAAAAGTTGCCAATTTGAGTAGTGAGGAATACGGAAATTGAATCACAATTTAAACCCACATCCCACGATTAAAAATCCCAGATTTTATGGGAATTATAACCAACAATAACTGAAATTTTGAGTTTATGAATTTATGAAAATTCTGAAGTTGTGTATTCTGTTCACGTCCAAGTATGAACGTGGTGTACCAGATTTACGGCTTCAGTTATAAATTCARACGTGCCGAAGTAACTATGTACATTTCAGTCACGAACATTTTAATATGGACTTTAACAATTTTAGTGACTTTCTTAAGGACTAATTTTCAAATATTGACTTTCTCATGATGAAGGGTAGTTTACAAGATTTATACAGATATTGAAGTCTGATTTGAAGAAAAAGTTTTCCCCCAACCAGACATTGTAATAAGGATTGCAAATATGGAACAATTTTTTGTACGTTCAAATCTGTAGGTTGAGGAAGTCTTCCCACGCCGTTTGTTGTGACTACAGATTTCTAAATCTGAGGTTGGTTCCAGATGTAAGATAGTGGTTATAAGTGCGGAAGCACAAAACTGACTCTATACATTCTAGACTTGAACATTTTGATATGGAGTTTAACAACTTCATGGCTTTCCTAAGGGTTAATTTACAAATATTGATTGTCACATAACAAAAGATAGTGTATAAGGTCTATACAGATACGGAAGTTTAGGTTGGGGGAAAATTTGTTATCTTATCGGGTCTTCGTAGATAAGATGTACTAAGTCTAAATATGCAAGGATCAGAGTTCCAGGTTTGGGCACATTCAGGCCTATTATTCTGAAATGAAATTCAGAGTTAGTCAGCAACTCTTGGCGTTCAAGACTTACAACACATTCCTTCCTCTAAAATGCAGGTAAGACGGTTGTCAACCATGTGTTCGTATATGATACGACCAACCGTTAACTTACATCATAATGGTAATTAAACATTTTTTTAAAATACGACGGTTTAAAATAGTCATGCTTAATGAGTCCAAGAAGTACTCTACACTTCCACGTGTCACTCTATAAACAAATTTTCGAGTTCTTTATTCAAATTTAAAACCAAATATATACTCCCTATATGAAGAAGGGGAGCCTCAACGTAGCACATCAAAAGACAGAGCTCTTTCTCAACACTTAAGTCCAGAGCCTCTGTGTTGCTCATGCAAATAAGTTTAATATTAAATCCAAAATAAATAATAATGAAAATGTATAGCATACTACATTCACCAATTAACAGATCATTGTACAAACCAAAATCCAATCACAAAAACAATACCAAATACGAGAGACAATATAGTTGTACACCAGAACCACGAATATTACTTCTGAAGTCGAGGGATTTTTAACGTTTATGTAGCCAATCTTTTTTCTTAAATTAGGAAAAACGAAGAAAAACATAAGAAGTTCTTGATACTCCAACATAAGTTAAAAAGAAGGCAGGTTCTTACGTGAATTAACAACATAAGTCTAATTGAAGGCCGAGGTTAAAAATAACCTCTGTTTTAAATTAACTTTTTAGAGAGTACAATACGAGTGAACATAAGTACAATGCTTGAAAGTTAAAACAAAATGCTAAGACAAGAACGTCTAGATGTTTTCAAGCCTGATGAACCTCCTAAGAAGTTCTCGAAAATCCAACAGATTACAAATTGATCTTAGAATAATTCTGGCTCCTTCTCTTGCTCTAGGGGTGGGATCTCTACTTCATGTAAGATGATCTATACGACAATTGACATAGAAGACGGCCTTTGTACATAATACACTTAGCTCTTGAGTAAGAGCTCTGTCTCTCCTCGTGCTACGCAGAACCTTTGATCATGATTCTGTGTTTCATACAGAACTATGCAGACTATCTGCATGTACCACGCAGCGCAGCTGAAGTTGCTTCCATACTCAATACAGACCTATATAGAGGCTCTGCATGTTCAACGCAGAGCCTCTGTTTAAGTAAATTTCCTACAGATTTGCGAATCTGCATACAAGGCTTCTAATCTTCAAAGTAGGCTAAAGAACAACCCTGCATACTACAGAGGCCGTGTAATAAATCAATGAAGGTCTACAAGGATTTAGATTAAACCCATCTGATCATGTACAACCTGTTATTCATCTGCCCACAACCTCTTCGTCCAAAAATAGTTAATACTTACGAGCAGATATAATTTTCATGAACATGAAAATCAAGCATTACAAAATTATGTAATACAAAAGAGTTTAATATCAAATCCAACACAAATAATAACGAAAACGGGTATCATAACCTAAGCACGAATGCAAAAATCATTGTCCAAACTAAAATTCAACCACCAACACAATACCAAATACGAGTTTCAATGTAATTGTTCATCAAAAACAAAAATATTACTTTTCAACTTTAGGAATCTTTAATGTTTTTATAGCCGATCCTTTTTCTTCCTGATCGACATCAGACCAACTTTCAAAAAGCCGCTTCCTATCAACTTCTTTCCCAAGCCTTCTGTCACACAACTTCTCTTCTGATTCCGGATTGTTATCTGGAAGAGTCACCATTGTCTCACAAGCAATAACTTCACCAAATACATCTATGTAATCATCAAAAAGTTAACATAACAACATCTAACTTCAGTGAGAGTACAATATATAACTTATTTAAACAATACAATCAATGTAAAAGGATTTAAGTCACTCACCAACTGTTGTATGTTCTGGGATACTTTTGGTTATAAGATTTGCAAATTTCACAAATGAGAAACCAAAAATGGAACCCTTAAAATCCCGGCAATCTGACATAGAAGTCTTGTAATACAAATTTAACTTGTTTGTATTATCGATTAACTTGTATTTCGTTGCATGTCGAGCAATTGTAGGATTCTTAATGAAAACTGCAGCCCCTTCCTAAAGTAAGTTACTGAACTTAGGAACTCATTTTTGTAGGACATTTGCTTGTATTTTAGTGCCCTAAGAACATAAAAATGAAAAATCAATGAGTAGTGATGATTTGAAGATCTTAGACAGTTCAGAAAATTATTCAATATCATGCTGACAATACTAAAGCTTGAAAAATATATAAGAATTTACCTGTTCATCCATTAATATCATTTCAATGGAATATATTTCATCTGGAATTTTAAACACCGGTTGCTTCCACAGTCTAACAATTCGGACCTTCACAGTGAAATCATCCTTCTGTATGTCAAGATCTTCAATGAATGTAATATTGTTAATAGCCATTAATCTGTAGAAGAAAAAACATGTATTAATTAATGAAAATTTTAAAGTAGGTTAATCAAAAGAAGTTATCATACCTCATAGAAGAAAAGCAATTGATTTTGATTGTTCTGGTTTGACGTTGAGAAAAGTTGCCTATTTGAGTAGTGAGGAGTACGGAAATTGAATCACAATTTAAACCCACATCCCACGATTAAAATTCCCGATTTTATGGGGATTATACTCCACAATGATTTAAAATTTGAGTTTATGAATTTATGAAAATTCTGAAGTTATGTAGTTTGTCTACGTCCAAGTATGAACGTGGTGTACAAGATTTACAGCTTCATTTATAAATTCAAATGTGCGGAAGTAATTTTCAAATATTGACTTTCTTAAGGAATAATTTTCAAATATTGACTTTCACATGACGAAGGGTAGTTTATAAGCTTTATACAGATATTGAAGTCTGATCTGAAGAAAAAGTTTTACCCAACGCAGGCTTTGTAATAAGAATTGCAAAACTGGAACAATTTTTGGTACGTTCAAATCTGTAGGCTGAGGAAGTCTTCCACGCCGTCTGTTGTGAATACAGATTTCTAAGTTTGAAGTTGGTTCCAGATGTAAGATGGTGGTTATAAGTGCGGAAACAAGAAACTGACTCTGTACATTCCAGACTTGAACATTTTGATATGGAATTTAACAACTTCATGGCTTTGCTAAGGGTTAATTTACAAATATTGACTGTCACATAACAGTAGATAGTGTATAAGGTCTATACAGATATGGAAGTATCGGTTGGGGGAAAATTTGTTATTCTACCGAGTGTTTGTAGTTCAGATGTACTAAGTCTGAATATACACAGATCAGAGTTCTAGTTCTGGGCACATGAACACCTACAACTCTGAAATGAAATTCATAGTTAGTTAGTAACTCTTGGCATTCAAGACTTACAACACATTCCTTCCTTTAAAATGCAGCTAACACGGTTGTCAACCACGTGTTCGTATATAATATCCGTGTTTTCGTTAACTCGTACAAATTGGGTTAAGAGAATTTTGGTAGAATTATGCATGATATATTTGTACCCTATGCTTAACCAATTTGTACCCTAGATTAGCTTTGCGTCAAAATGTGTTTATACCTATATTGACGTAAAGTTGGGAATTTAACTTGAAGGGTAAAAACCGTCAAATAGTTAAACTATATATATATATATTATATATATTATATATATACATATGAGGCGGTGTGAATTTAAAAAAAAATTTAATTATATATATATATGAAAGGCGGTTTCACCACCGCCAACTCCATTCTCTCTCTCTCTCACTTCTTTCTCTCTCTCTACAATTCTCTCTCGTCTTCTCTCTAGATTTTACGTCAAGTTAGTAAGGRGATCGAGACAACAATTATATATTCGGAATCCACTCTCCGAACTCTTCTTAAAGGTATAAGTTTCATTTAGTTTCATTAAGGTGTTTATTTTAGGATTCTTTAGATCGGTTTATAAATTGTGTTTATATCTAAGTTTACGGATTGATA